CCGTATTTATACTTCATTTTGCTACCCACCCACACATCCCCCCACCCCATCGGACCAACACAATCACCCCCCTTGCCCAACGATCCACAATGGTACGACCCACGCAACTATAAAATCTACATTCTAACAAGCTCTCGCCAGGTGCCTGTCGCCTCTGCTGCTGCTGCCGCCGCCGCTGCCTGGAATGCGTGGAGCCTCCACCACCTCCTCCTCCTCCTCTAAACAGTGGCATCGCCCTCAAGTGCAAGTCCCTGTGTGGCCCTGCATTGCTCAACGTGAGACGCTGCTGCTGCTGCTTCTGCTGCTGCTGTGTTACACGCGCGCACGAGTGAGTGAGTGAGCGTTACGTGCCCGTCGGCTCCGCCTCGAATGAGCGTACTTAGTGCGCGGTGCGTCCACATCGCTACCGGGAGAGACAAAGGCGGCCGGGCGTGGTGCTGGCAAACTACCCCCTCGTGTGCCACAGTGCCGGCCTTCATAGGTGCTGCTACTCGCTAACAGCACTTGTCCCAAAAGTATGTTAAGCCTATATGGGGAATCTTTGTCTTTATGTTTGAGTGTGGGGAGCGGTGGCGTAGCGGTTAGCGCGCTGGGCAACGAACGCGAGGACTCAAGTTTGAGTCCCGCTCAAGGCCAACATCAGTGACGATTATCTAAAGCAGTCTTGGGCTTCCCCTAGGTCGACTCAGCCTCAAACGAGTACCTAGTGCGGTGTGTTAATATCGCCACTAGGGAGACAAAGGCGGCCGGGCGTAGTGCTGGACAACTACCCCCTCGTGTGCCGTGACGGCCTTCATAGGTGCTAATCGCTAGCTGCACTTGACCCGAAAGTATGTGAAGGCTAGACGGGGAATCTTTGTCTTTGTGTGAGTTTCTATGGCGGTGCAATCGTTAAGTGCTGCGTGATCGTGAGAGATGAAATCTGGGTTCTATTCCCGGCAACGGTTAACATCAATGAGTGTGGTGTGTGTGCGTGTGATATGTAACATGTTTCTGGATCTCCCCTAGGTTGACTCAGCCTAATAGTAAATACCGGGTACGGTGTGTAAACCATCAGCACCTGTCTTCTTGTTTCTTTCGGTAAAGTCACGTAGAAGGGAAGTAATAAAATAATAAAAATAAAACATAATAAAACAATTCTCACGACGTTTCGGCTACAACGCAAGCAGCCGTCTTCAGGTGAAGAATGAGACACTACCAAACTAGGAGCTTATATATAAGCTGCATTGGGGGTTGAAGAGCGCCTTAACAAAAAGAATGTGCATGTGAAGAGGGATTTAGCATATTCATGGAAAATGCGTAGGCGTTGGGCGGGGGGGTGTCAAAGTCATATTATGCCCATGCATTATGCAGGATCAGCAGCAACCAAGGGGGGTGCAGGGATTAGCAGTAACAAAGGAAAGGAATGTTAATGATATGTAGCTGCAGTTACTCAACAACCACGTAGAAAACTAAAGTATAAACTACATAAAAAACTAAAGTATAAACTGCATCGCACCATCAGTATACTTACTATACTCTATAATAAGCTGAGTTACTAACAGCAAGTAATACATTACAATTTTACCTCGTAAAAATTCTATAATATGCTTCCATCTAAACCTTATTCTCTTACATCACACGAGCATATACCGTACTATATACTGCCATAGATAAACCCAACATTAAATTATATACTGTATTGCTGTAAACCAACCTATATCTTATACATTTATCAGCACCTGGTGAGACAAAGGCGGCCGGGCGTGGTGCTGACCTCCCACCAGAGGTCGCAACCGGGTACCCGTTACCCGTACCCTACCCGATACCCGGCTACCAGTACACGGCTGGGTACGGGTACAGGTAGCCGTTTGCGACCCTGGTGCAGCCGGGTACGGGTAGGCCGTGAGTCACTGGTGAATAGCCGTTTGTCACTCATTTCGGGTAGGGTACGGGTACGGGTAGGAACGGGTACCTGTACCCGGCCGGGTACGGGTACGGGTACCCGTTTGCGACCCTGGTGCGGCCGGGTACGGGTACGGTAAGGAATCAAAACCTGTTTGCGACCTCTGCCTCCCACCCCCCCCCCTCCCCTGTGTGCCGTGCCAGCCTTAAATAAGTGAAAGGATCAATTGGTTTAACCAGGTGATCATTATTCCATAGTTTTTCTGCTCTATATTTCGACGTGAAGAGTAATAAGCCCTTTGTTGAGCTATCATATGTGGCCAGGTCGCTTCTGAATAGGAAGCTAATAGCTTGGTTGACTTAACCTGGTATGATAAAAAAAAGTTTAGTAAGTATTTGTATATTTGTTTAACTTTTCCGTTATTTTGCAACTCCTACCGGGTTGGGTTTTTTTTACATTGTTTTCTTGTTGTAACGCTCTGACAGCTCCTGGGATTCCTCCAGCAATACATAATAATTCTGACTCGGATAACTCAAGACGCCAGGGCAGCCTTGCTCACAGCACTAACCCCAACAGCCTATTTCGTATATCGCTATACGGGGGCGGAAAAAAACCACTTTTGCTTGAAGCATAGTTAAACTTAGCTCCGTCGTCGGTATAATAACCATGGCATAGGCCCACACATTGCTATCGGTAATTTTAGCACTACGCGTTCCGACCTAGGGATATTTGCAGCCGGGCAGATTATTTTTAATGTTGGAAGCTCTTTCCACCACCGTCACTTGCACGCCTGTAGCGGCATCGCTGTGTTTGCTGCTGCTGCTGCTCAATAATTCGAAGGCTGAGTCGACCTACAGCCAGGGGGTTGTGGTGGTGCGGATGGGATTCTGAATCCGTGTAGTGTTTTGTTTGGAACTTCCCGCCGATGGACGATGAACACGATGGCTGTGGGGCGAGGTGATCCCCTACAGAGACGGCGGCGTTGGCGGTCGTGGCGGTGGTGCCTTGCCAACATGCACGCGAAGCCGTTCCGCGGGCAGTGTTACTCCAAACTCCGGCGGGAATGCCTCTCGGCGGGACGGCCTTTCGAAGACCCGCTCTTCCCGGCGTCCGACTCGTCCCTGTACCACACCAAGCCGCCTCCCGCGCACGTGGAGTGGAGGAGACCCACGGTGGGTTGGGATTGGGGTTGGGAGTTGCGCCTCTGTCTGTGCAAAGCGTGCGAACAACCGATGCAGCGGCGTTGCGTGGCACCGCGGCGATGAATCGCGGAACGTACGGAACCAGCGGCGGTTCCGATCGCGCGCCAACGTCGGAACAACGTTGGCACCAACGTTGCGTGGCACCGCCGCGATAAATCGTGGAACGTTGGAACCAACAACGCTTCCGATCGCATGCCAACGTCGGAACAACGTTGGCACCAACGTTGCGTGGCACTGCGCGATAAATCGTGGAAAGTTGGAACCGACAACGTCTCCGATCGCATGCCAACGTCGGAACAACGTTGGCACCAACGTTGCGTGGCACTGCGCGATAAATCGTGGAAAGTTGGAACCGACAACGCCTCCGATCGCATGCCAACGTCGGAACAACGTTGGCACCAACGTTGCGTGGCACTGCGCGATAAATCGTGGAACGTTGGAACCGACAATGATTATGATCACGTGCTAACGTCGGAGTAACGTGGGCAGCTTTACTGACGGTGATTTATGCCACCCAAACAATCTTATCAGTTTAACACGTAGGCTTTCGCGACCAATATTATTCATAATAAACGTTTTTGCCCGATGATGCTGGATGTAATTACCAGCGAAACGTCGTGCTCAAAAATTGTAAATGTTGTGGTTTCCCTCTTCGACACACCGGTGGGCTAAAGTAGTGAACTATTTAGTCTTTTGTCAACGTGACACTTTTTTGCTGATTGGCCGTGTCGGGTGGTGGAGGGTTACGACACATTTATAAATAACGCGATCGAACCCAAAAACGTTGATTATGAAACAATCTTATGTCGAGGGCAAGTTATTTTGGGGCACTCATTGAAGGCTGAGTTGACCTAGGGGAAACCCACGACTGGTTTCACACGTGACTTCATTGCTATGTTGCTTGGCCGTGAGTGAGAATTGAAATCGGCTCTTAAGGGGCATTGCATCACCGCTTGTCTCGAAAGCAAAGACTAAAACCGATCCCCGGTACAGCCTTCGCCAGACTGGTGGGGAAATACTCTTAGTTCTTTCGGTAAAGTCACGTAGGTAAAAAATAAAATTGAAATTAATAAAAAATAAAATAATGGGGAAAGCCCTCTCGGTGGGCATCTGTGAAGGGCGGCACGGCGCGCGAGTGGATGGTGGGTGACCACCACAGCACCCGGACACGCCTTTCGATCTCCCGTGCTGATCTTTTTAAATCCTTTATATTAAGTTCACTTGCTTGCTTGCTTGCGCGCTTACGACCGTGCAAATTTTTCGGTCGTTTTTTAACCCACTTGCCGTGATCCAATCGAGCTGACATTTTCCACACAGACTCGTTGTGCGTGACAATTTATTTTCGTGAACATTTTGTTCAAAATTTTTATACTTTTTAGGAAAAAAAAGTTATATTTAATTACCAATTGCTTAATGGTGCCAGGCAATCATCTGACCCATAGGTGGCAGCCATCTCAAGCAAGAAGACGAGAGGACTCTAGCCGCCACGCATATAAAGGATTTATAGTGAAAAACTTTGTTTTTACGGGTTAATTTAGATTTCTGTTGATATGATTGTGGTTATGGTTGTACTTTATTAATCCCTAATCTCTGCCATTACATACAATGAAACAAGAAAAGGTAAAAAAGTAAAAACAGAGCAATGTAATACAATACACTATTAGACATTATTGTTAAAAAGAAATAAAAAGTCCATCCCACGTGTTAGTGATTTATTTAATATTTTAGGCAGGAAATGGCAGGAAATTAGTTTTCAAATTTAGACTTTTCTGGGGGGGCGGGCGGGGGGGGGGACGACGACCCCTAGACCCCCTGGAAGATTTGGTCCCCCCCAATGTTGACTCCATGGCTATGGCCTTGCACTGCACGAGGTGGGGACTCATTTTAGGCTGACTGGACCTTGGGGAAGCCCAGGACCCATTCATAAATTCGGTCGCGAACGGGAATTGAACCCTGTTGACTGGGTTGGTTATGCTGTGCGCTAACCACTACATTGTACATACACAGACAAGCTGTAGTAATTGGGTTGAGTGATAACCACTACACTACTGCTCTCCGTGAAGGCAAATATCCTCCGTATAGTGCTGTTAGCGAGCTGAGAAACTACGAGCCGAAGTGTGTGTGGGGTGGTGTGTGTGTGGGGTGTGTGGTGTGTGTGGGGTGGTGTGTGTGGTGTGTGTGTGGTGTGTGTATGTGGTGTGTGTGGTGTGTGTGTGTTTGGTGTGTGTGTGTTGTGTGTGGGGTGTGTGTGGTGTGTGTGTGTTTGGTGTGTTTGGTGTGTGTGTGTTGTGTGTGGGGTGTGTGTGTGTGAGGTGTGTGTGGTGTGTGTGTGGTGTGTGTGTGTTTGGTGTGTTTGGTGTATGTGTGTTGTGTGTGGGGTGTGTGTGTGTGAGGTGTGTGTGGTGTGTGTGTTGTGTGTGTTGTTGTGTGTGTGGTGTGTGTGTGAATTGTGAGGGCCGAAACCCACCTCCCCGCGAGCGGCCTGGGCGCAACGTCCACCCCCTCCACTCCCCCCCTCGTCAGCCGCCTCTCGCCGGGCCCCCGCTGATGGGGTGATCGCCCCCCCCCCCTCTCTGAGGGACATCGCTGATTGGCTGGCTAACCACCGCCCGGGGTTATCCCGCACACGCCCACGTACACCACCACCACCACGCAAAGCGAACGCGGAGGCGTGCACGCGCGCGCCCCTGCAGGCGCGTATTTCGCGCAAAGGTCAGCGCTCAAGTTGGAGACAACTCCCCCAATTGTCCCGGGGCAGGCCTCTTTTATTCTCTAAACTTCAAAGGCCCGGGGGTGGGGGGTGGGTGGGGACGTCGTGCCGCGCAGCCATTCATGCGCCAACCTTTAGAGTTTCAACTGATGCTCCGCCCTCACCTGGAGCGTTATCTTCCGTTACGCCTCGACCCATTGTCTACGTGCCCGCCCTCGATCCCCTACCCCCGAGTGGGGGCGACCCCCGTTGCCCCTTCATCTGGAAGCGCTCCCGTGCTGTTTGCCGACTTCATGAGCCACCCTCTGCTAGGCGGCGGCTGTGGCCAACCATTGTCCCTTTGTTTCTTGTGTCCTTCCTGCGAAATGTCCCGTCCTCCATTCTCCCCTCCGAGTTGTACCTCATTGCGGTTGGCCCAGGGAATCTTTTTCTTCCTGCGCCCGTACAATTTTTAAGCCAATTTAGGGGCACCGCCAATCTCCTGGCACCGGGAAACCGTGGGACTCTCCATCTAGGGGCCCTCCGGATTAAACCCCGATGTGCCAGGCAACTCCCCATCAGGACACTACTCTGTGGGTGCGCTGAGTGCGGGGGCCGGGAGGGGATAGCGGCGCTTGTGGACTTGCTCCATGGTCGTGGCACCACAAGTGTGTTTGTTGGGTTTGTGGTGTGTGTGGTGCGTGTTGTGTGTGTTGTGGTGTGTGTGGTGTATATTGTGTGCGTTGTGGTGTGTGGTGTGTGTTGTGTGTGTGGGCGTGTGTATTGTGTGTGTGTTGTGTGTGGTGTGTTGTGGTGTGTCTGTGTGTGTTGTGTGTGTGTGTGGTGTATGTGGTGTATGTGGTGTGTGGGGTCGGGTGGCTAAAGCACAGCAAGTTGGCACAGTAGGGGGCACAGGTGGTGCATCAGCCAGTCATCTCGGTCGTCTCAGTCAGTCGCCCCGTGACCTCCTGCCAGCGGGCGTTCGACACTTCACGTGGCCTAAAGGTGCACATGGCCTAGCATAAGCGTCGTGGTGACGTCACCGCCACTTAGTGGCGAATGGCGGTTGTTGTGTGTGGGGAGTGTGTGTGTATTGTGTTCTCCCCCGCTCTGCAGCCCCCCCCCCCCATCCTGCACCCGTCCTCCTTGGCTCCTCCCACTCCTCTTACCCTCCTTGTCAATCACTTTCCTGGCTCCGCCCACACCCCAACCCCCCCTCCCCCATCATGCACCTGTCCTCCTTAGCTCCTCCCCCTTCACCTTCCTGGCTCCGCCCACACCCCCCCCCCCCCATTCTGTACCGGTCCCCCTTGGCTCCCCCCCTCCTCTGACCCTAAGTAACAATGTCTCATCACAAATAACTCTCGCTACAGTTATTTTGCTGTGCCTTTGTATTACACCTGATGAAGGAGGCTTGTGTTGCCTCCGAAACGTCGTGATTTAATTTAGTTGTTTTCGTTTACTTTATTTTATTAATTGTTTTACCTACGTGATTCTTAGGTTTTTTCGGTAAAGTCACATAGGTAAAAAATCAAAATTCATTAAAGTAAAATAAAAATAATATTTTACTTTTAGTAATTTTTATGTTTTACCTACGTGACTTTACCGAAACAACCTAAGAATATGAATACTTTCAGTCACGAAAGCTTCAAATCTAGAATTACCTACGTGACTTTACCGAAAAAACCGAAGAGTATAATGTGGGTGTGTTGGGCGTGTGTGTGTGTGTGGTGCGTGTATGGCGCGCGCGTGCGTGCGTGTGCGTGTGTGTGTGCTTAAGATCAGTTGCAATACGTTGAGGAATGCACAAGAAGCGTCACATGTGCATGTGGAAGGGATTGATACGTGCGCGACCTTCATCGTTCGCCGCAGCCACAGACACCAGAGCCGATGGGAAGCTGTAAAAGCCTTTCGCGTAAACGTGGCCCCTTTGACAAGGGCTGTACAAGTTGTGGCTGCTATTACCCTCCCCTTTTCATGCACGATATAAACAGGGACTTTTCGATTTAAAGCTTTCGTGACTGCAGGGATTCATCTTCTTGGTTCTTTCGGTAAAGTCACGTAGAAGGGAAGTAATAAAATAATAAAAATAAAACATAATAAAACAATTCTCACGACGTTTCGGCCACAACGCAAGCAGCCGTCCTCAGGTGAAAACCAGGTCCGTCGAGGCGACAGAGTCTGTGCTGTTTCATTCAGACTCTGTCGCCTCGACGGACCTGGTTTTCACCTGAGGACGGCTGCTTGCGTTGTGGCCGAAACGTCGTGAGAATTGTTTTAT